CCAATGGGGTTTTTGAGAGCCTGGAGGGCGAACGAGCTCCCACAGGAAGCCAAGGCACTGGGCCAGATAACCGGTAAATCCTGTCCAAGCAGGCAAACTAACCTCAAGTAGCAAATGGTAAACCTCAGGGGCAATAGAGGAGGACTGCCATCACACCCTAGGCAGAGCCAAATGAGGAGCTAAGCAGACCTCCGTAACAACAGGCAAATTAGTCAGGAACTATAAAAAACACAAAACCTCTGAAACCCCACAACTAGCAAACTAGCATATGGTGAAAACAGTGGTTCGCTGTATGATAGCATATAGCAGGCAGCGCTAGGCACAGAGAGCTCCACTAGCCGAAAATCCTGAAGTCGAGTCCTGAACAACCAAGGGATGACAACCCTGAAACACAAGAGCATCTGGCCAACACTCCACACATGGGTAAGAACAGCCTTTGAAGGCAAAAATCCAGAACAGGCAACCGAGGCCAGAGAAGACGTCCGACTGCCAGCACATTAGTTCAAAATCTGGAAGATTGATAGCCAGGCTCCTGCGAGCTGGCTTTCCCTCCCCCAAAGTGGAGGGGGAAGCTGCACTAATGAGCAGGGGGGGGGGAGCTAGTTGAACAAAATGTTGCTTCTTTGTTTTCATTATTGGGAAGTTCTTTTGCTTTTTACAGGACATTTGTCACCAGACAGTGGTCTGTTTTGTTTCGGCTACTTTTCTGGGTGCAATCCCTGGTCGGTGGCAAGTATGATGTACATTAAATGTAAAGTGTACATAGGCCATTGCTCCCTGCGCCTATCTGAGGGGGGCTAGGTTCTAGCTCGTGGTCTCTGGTAGGCAAAAGGACTCTGTGACCGATAACCCAACTAATATAGCACTCTATCTGTTTGGATAGCTTCAGGGAGCCAACAGGGGTCACCAGAGAAAACATGTTAGACCAGTCCTAGAGAATACAGCTCCAGCATGGAACCAACATTTTATAAAACATAAGAGGAAAACTTAGAAGGGAAGAAGAACTGGCATTAGACAGAGACCAAAGATAAGATAAATAAGCTGTGAAGACAGGCCAGGTGAACTACAGCTAATAAGAAAGGAGGAGACAATACAACCACAATGTACAAGACACTGAGGAAAACAAAGTGGATTGAGATAGTCTTTTCCAGCTGGGAAAAACTAAATAATGATGCACAAGAGGAAGCTGAAAACACAGCAGAGCTAGAGAATTGTAAGAAAATACTCGCATGTAGTGAATAAAAAACCAGCGTTGAATATAATGAAATGCCATTTTCTAGGTGAGACCCGGAGGATCCCTGGAGCTATTCAGGCTTATATGGATAGATTAGTTTTTTGGCATCTGTATATGTGAATGGAGTTCTTGCCTATCAATAACCACGAGTCAGAAATTGGCTCCCTCAGAGAGGCACGAGGAGCAATGGCCTATAGAAACCCCCTTGTGGTTGGGAGCATTCTGTGTCTGCCACTGACCGGGTCTGGCATCCAGAACGGTAGGTGCCCAAAAACAAACCCCTATTCTGGTGAAAACATTGATACTGAAAGCCGAACGAGTGGACAGAACTCCCTAAACGAAAATTAGCAAACGAGCATGACATCATCACATTGCCAAGCAGCTGTTTTCACAGCCCCCCCCCCTCCCCGGGAGGGCGAAGGGGAAGCCCCAGACCCTCGTGCAGACGATGCACCTTTCAGTTCTTAAGCTGGATGTCAAAATATGCAAAAACACTGCCGACCAAAGGGAGGGAAGGAGGGAGGGAGGGAGGGAGGGTGCTGAGGAGCATCCGGGTCTCACACTGAAAATGGTGTTTCATTACATTTAACACTGGTTTTCTGGGTAAAGCCCCGTCGGCTTCCCAGAGCTACCTCACCAAAGATAAGGAAAAAGAGGAAAGGATCCCAGGAGGCGGACGCCACACGCCCTAACACAAAAACAAGACAACTTACTAAACCAAAGGACCCTGCGGGACGACTCGGGAGACCTGAACCCCGTAAAAGGAAGGAAGGGAACCCAGGCCCCGAAGTGCGACCATGGCCAGAGAGGCCAAGACGCGTCGACAACAGTGGAGATCTGCAACCAAACACAAGATGCACCCCTCGGACTGACCAACCAAGCAACAACAACCCAAGGACCCCTCTGGAAAGCAGCAGACTCATTCTTCGCCAGAAAAGGACGAGAAGGTTTCAACTGAACAAACCTACAACTAGAACTAAAAAGAGCGGAAACCCCCGCCCTGGAGGAGAGCATGAAGCTTCCAAACTCAATCCCCAAAGGCCAAGCCAACAGAAAAAAAAAGAGCCAAAGAAAAACAATTCTGAACTGAAGAGGCCAGCACAAACCGAGGAGAAGAGAGAAAGGAGAGCAGCCTGTCTAAAGACCAGGACGGCACAGGCAGCACATGAGCATGCCAGAGAGAAAACAATGCACAAGATAGCTTGCGGAACTGAGCAGAAGTAACGTCAATACAGAATGCAAGCCGAAGCGGCTCTGTCAGCACCGCACGATATGACGCGACAGTATTCAGCATTTGATGACGGTCCTGGAACAACCACAAAGGAGGAACAAAACAACCCTATCAGAGACCACAGTACACCTAAGCAGTGATAGGAAAAACTCGAAGGACTGCCAGGAACTGCATAGTGCCGCCGAGACAAAGCATGCAGGTGGCAGACAAACAACGAAGCCACCTGCACCCCATACAAGTTGTGTGAGACTCGAGTCAGAAGCTCCAGACTCGAAGACTCGAGGAGAAGAATGAACTAGCCACGTAACAGACTGGACCAATATGCTGAAAGAGGCAGAGCCGCGGGAAGACCCTCAGGTTCGGACACTGAGCAATCGGCATCTGAAACCAAGGCTGGGCCGGCCACCAAGGAGCCAGAAGGACAACTCTTCCCTGGAAAATCCTCAAGCGAGTCAGGACCTGGAGCAACAGCTGAACTGTGGGGATGAGGTACAGGTAACCCCCACCTCACCCAGTCCTGCCTGAAGGCATCGACCCCGACGGCCTTGCAGTCAGGGAAGGGCGCCATGTATACTGGGAGATGCCTCAACCACGCCAACATGAAGAGGTCCACCTCCGGAGTCCTAAACGTCTGACAGAGACAACTGAACGAGTTGGAGTCGACCGTCCACTCCATGGAAAGGGGAATGAACTGAGACAGGCCATCTGCTTGACACCCCCCGAACGTGAACCGCCAGGAGAGCCAAAGCCCGAGAACTCAGCAGTCACCCGAAGTGACCAGCCCCAAAGAGCCAAGGATCACAGCGAATCCCCGAGGTTCAGGCGATGAACCACTGGGGGAACAATCTGAATGGAGCCGGATCGTCGATCTGCGAGCAACCCAAATCCTCTGTAGCGACATTCAAACAGCCACAAACTCCCGACTTGTGATGTGAGCCCAATGGAGGGACGGACCCCACCAACACTGGACAGTCTGGCGAGCACTGGTCACAAAAACACAAGCCGAGAGACGAGGCATCTGTGAACACATCAAGCGAGGGCTCGGGGAGGCGCCACGGCACAGAAACCTGAGAGTCCCACAGAGGATCCGAACCCAGCAATCGCGAGAGCGGCGGAAGGGCCGTCCCCGAAGAAACCAGAACAGCCGCCGAAGCCAGAGCCGACCCGACAGGTAGACCAGCACGGTGAAGTTCAGGCTCCAGTACAAACCCTCGAGCAACTGCCACGTGACCCGGGAGCCCCACAGGAACAGATGAAGGTGGGAATATAGGCCAAGCAGAGCCGCCAGAGAGAGACATGGAAGTGGTTGGAGCATCCCACACAAGACCCAACCAAGGGCAAACCAAAACCCCAGCTGACTCCTAGTGTGGCCAAGTACTGTGCAGTAAAAGACACAGCGGAGGTAGGTCCCAAGGTGACTTGTAGAAGGTGGCCCCAAGCCCCAAGGTCAGTACTTATAGGGCACCTAGGGAAGCAAACCCTAGGCACATGCAACCCGAGTACCGAACACTAAGACTCCTGGCTCGCACACCACCAGTAGAAAGAGTCCACGCCACAAGGCACAGAAACTGAGAGAAAATCTGGAGCCAGAGGCATATGACCTGCCAGTATCACATCAGCCAAGAACTGAAGGGTGGATTGCCGGCGTGAGGGTCTGGGGCTCCTCCCCTCTTCCCCCTCTTGGGGAGGGGGGAGTTGTGCAGACCACAGGGCAGCAATGTGATGGTATCATGTTCGTTTGCTAATTATCGTTTGGAGAGTTCTGTCCATTCGTTCGGTTTTCAGTAGCAATATTTTCACCAGAATAGGGGTTTGTTTTGGGGCGCTTACCTTTCTGGGTGCCAGACCTGGTCGATAGCAGACACAGAATGCTCCCAACCACATGGGAGTTTCTATGGGCCATTGCTCCTCGTGCTTCTCTGAGGGAGCAAGTTTCTGGCTCGTGGTCCACTGAAGGCAAGAACTCCATGCATACTGACTGATGCCAGAAAGCTAATATATCCATATCAGCCTGGATAGCTCCGGGAAGCCGACAGGGCTAATCCCCCTGTCACTGTAATCATCTTGAACCAGAGGTGGGTGACCAATCACCATTCACATCTTCAAGATCAAGTATGACAAAATACTTGAAAGTCATTATGTATAAATGCACTAAGTACAATAGGTATGAAGCATGGCTTTAGAAGTGTATCTTGTGCTCCAAATACACAATTAAGCAAGTACACACACAATCTTCCTACCCACCACTATCATTAAGAACATTTAGCAGAGCAATAATAATTCTACATAGTGAATGCAGTCAAAAGATAGAATATAATAAAAGGAGAAAACAAATATGCAATTTTATAATAGTGTTTACTCTTGAGTTGTCCCTATGGCTATTACAAGATTAACCTAAGTGCTACCTCTTCATATACATGGGTTAATTATGTCCAGCAGGGCACAGCTACTAAAAAAGTTCTTTATTTCAGTTTAGTTGGGGGAAAGAATTACCTCTTAATAACATAGTACATTACATTCAGTGCAGAAACTTACGTTTCTGAGAATTTTCGTTTCCGTAACTGAGCATGAGACATTTCCGGAGTTTGGTTCGGCACTGTAGTGGTGGGAAGTACTTCACTTAGCTCGTCAAGCACCAACCTCTTCAAAACAATGTTGGCAACCTGTCAAATAAATATAAATTAATACTGTCTCTTTACTATAAAACCAGCGATGAATGTAATAGGAGTGGTTCTAGATAGAAAACTATCACCTGAGGACCACATAAAGAATATTGTGCAAGGAGCCTATGCTATGCTTTCTAACTTCAGAATTGCATTTAAATACATGGATGGCGATATACTAAAGAAATTGTTCATGACTTTTGTTAGGCCAAAGCTAGAATATGCAGCTGTTGTGTGGTGCCCATATCTTAAGAAGCACATCAACAAACTGGAAAAGGTGCAAAGACATGCTACTAAGTGGCTCCCAGAACTGAAGGGCAAGAGCTACGAGGAGAGGTTAGAAGCATTAAATATGCCAAAACTAGAAGACAGAAGAAAAAGAGGTGATATGATCACTACATACAAAATAGTTACAGGAATTGATAAAATCGACAGGGAAGACTTCCTGAGACCTGGAATTTCAAGAACAAGAGGTCATAGATTTAAACTAGCTAAACACAGATGCCGAAGAAATATAAGAAAATTCACCTTCGCAAATAGAGTGGTAGACGGTTGGAACAAGTTAAGTGAGAAGGTGGTGGAGGCCAAGACCGTCAGTAGTTTCAAAGCGTTATATGACAAAGAGTGCTGGGAAGACGGGACACCACGAGCGTAGCTCTCATCCTGTAACTACACTTAGGTAATTACACTTAGGTAATTACACTTTTCAAGCTGGATTTACTCACCCGGTTTGACGAACAATGGTTCGCCAAAGCGGGGGATGTTCGGATTTGCTTACGATGTCCAGACAGAGTTCACAGACTGGTGAAAAACTTTCCTATTCTATCACAGATAGAATAGGAAATATTCTATCACAGATCTATCACAGAAATTGCGAGAGAGCCAGAGACCAAACGACACAAAAATGGAATCAATACAGGAAGAGGCCAAACCCCCAAACATACAAGCGATACAAAGATGCGAGAAACAACTACACGGCAGTGAGGAGAGAGGCAGAAAGAAATTTTGAAAAAGGGATTGCAGACAAATGTAAAACAGAACCAGGTCTATTCTATAAATTCATAAACAACAAATTGTAGGTAAAGGATAATATTCAGAGGTTGAAAATGGGAAATAGATTTACGGAAAATGAAAAGGAAATGTGTGAAACATTAAACGAAAAGTTCCAAAGTGTGTTTGTACAAAATTAAATCTTCAGTGAACCAGATACAATAAGAATTCCAGAGAACAACATAGAGTACAGAGAGGTGTCTAGAGACGAACTGGAAAAAATGCTCAAGGAGCTAAATAAGAACAAAGCAGTTGGTCCAGATGGAGTTTCACCATGGGTTCTGAGAGAATGTGCACCTGAGCTCAGCATTCCTCTTCAACTGATTTTTCAGGCATCCCCGTTTACAGGAGTTGTAGCTGATGTGTGGAAAAAGGCTAACATAGTTCCAGTCTACAAAAGTGGAAGCAGGGAAGACCCCTTAATTATAGACCGGTATCATTGACAAGTGTAATAGTCAAAATATTGGAAAAAATAATTAAAACTAAATGGGTAGAACACCTGGAGAGAAATGATATAATATCAGACAGACAGTATGGTTTTCGACCTGGAAGATCCTGTGTACTGAATTTACTCAGTTTCTATGATCGAGCAACAGAGATATTACAGGAAAGAGATGGTTGGGTTGACTGCATCTATCTGGACCTAAAAAAGACTTTCGACAGATTTCCACATAAGAGGTTGTTCTGGAAACTGGAAAATATTGGAGGGGTGACAGGTAAGCTTCTAACATGGATGAAAAATTTTCTGACTGATAGAAAAATGAGGGCAGTAATCAGAGGCAATGTATCAGGCTGGAGAAATGTCACAAGTGGAGTACGGCAGGGTTCAGTTCTTGCACCAGTGATGTTTATTGTCTACATAAATGATCTACCAGTTGGTATACAGAATTATATGAACATGTTTGCTGATGATGCTAAGATAATAGGAAGGATAAGAAACTTAGATGATTGTCATGCCCTTCAAGATGACCTGGACAAAATAAGTATCTGGAGCACCACTTGGCAAATGGAATTTAATGTTAATAAATGCCATGTTATGGAATGTGGAATAGGAGAACATAGACCCCACACAACCTATATATTACGTGAGAAATCTTTAAAGAATTCTGATAAAGAAAGAGATCTAGGGGTGGTTTTAGATAGAAAGCTATCACCTGAGGACCACATAAAGAATATTGTGTGAGGAGCCTATGCCACGCTTTCTAACTTCAGAATTGCTTTTAAATAAAATGGGGCCTCGACTTCCGATGCTAATCCGTTCCCAGAGACGAAGTCGAAATATCGGAAGTCGAAGCGAATTTTCCCATAAGAAATAAAGGGATTTGAATTAATCCGTTCCCCACCCTCCAAAATGTTAACATAAAAATACATTTTATACTGAATACAATGTTTTTTTCTAACTACAATACAGTACCAAAGTTACTCTTACCTTTATGGAGGGCTCTTGATGGCATATGGAAGATGGTGATGGGGGAGGAGGAGAGTTGTTACTGTTTGGAAGGGGAGTCCCCTTCCATTATCACATCAGGCAGCAATGTTTTCTCTGGGGTACTCGCTCTCTCTCTCTCTCTCCTACGTTTTGCCTGAATACTACTAGGACCTGGTTGTGGTTCAGTGCTTGTTTGTCTCACTACAAATTTGTCAAGATACATTTGTTTTTCCTTTCGTTTTAACATTTGTCTGTAATGATGCATCACATTAGCACCCATAATGTCCTTTTTCTTAGCTAGTATGGTGGATATTGTTGACAAATTTGTTGTACTGCCTAGCCAGTTCACCTACCTGCACACCTTCATATTTACGAATGATCTCTTGTTTCTGCTCTAAGGTCATTCTTACATGGGATCTCATATGTTGAGCCTTACCACTGACTTTCCTGGGACTCATGGCGCATTATATAATAATTACTTTAACGTTCAAAATGCAAAAAATCACCACAAAAGCGGAATTTCTTATAGGCGCGATCGTTACTAAGCGGATAGCTGTAGTAAACTGAGGCAGGTCGGACCGCATGACCAGGAACTACGCGCTCGGCCGACCCGAACGTGTACCAACAAATATCGGATGTCGACGACACCATTGGATGTCGAGTCGCATTTTTCGATGAAATTTATATCGAAACTCGAAATTATCGTAAGTAGGGGCAATCGTATGTCGAGGTGCCACTGTACATGGATGGCGATATACTAAAGAAATTGTTCACAACTTTTGTTAGGCCAAAGCTAGAATATGCAGCAGTTGTGTGGTGCCCATATCTTAAGAAGCACATCAACAAACTGGAAAAGGTGCAAAGACATGTTACTAAGTGGCTCCCAGAACTGAAGGGCAAGAGCAACGAGGAGAGGTTAGAGGCGTTAAATATGCCAAAACTGGAAGACAGAAGAAAAAGAGGTGATATGATCACTACATACAAAATAGTAACAGGAATTGATAAAATCGATAGGAAAGATTTCCTGAGACCTGGAACTTTAAGAACAAGAGGTCATAGATATAAACTAGCTAAACACAGATGCCGAAGAAATATAAGAAAATTCACTTTCGCAAACAGAGTGGTAGACGGTTGGAACAAGTTAGGTGAGAAGGTGGTGGAGGCCAAAACCGTCAGTAGTTTCAAAGCGTTATATGACAAAGAGTGCTGGGAAGACGGGACACCACGAGCGTAGCTCTCATCCTGTAACTACACTTAGGTAATTACACACTTAGGTAATTACACACTTAGGTAATTACAGATTACAATAAATAAATCCTTCATATGACAAGGTGGATCACACAAGTGGACCACAAGTGGTTGGTCCACAAGCTTACGATGTTGGGACAGAGTTCACAGATTGGTGGAAAATTGTCTCATTCTATCACAGAGTACAATTAACAATTCCTTCATAAGACAAGTTGGATCACACAAGTGGACCACACAACAAGTGAACCATATGAACCAAACACCAGCCAGAATGGTCCACACAAGAAGTGACGCATAATAACCAAACACTAGTCAGAATGGTCCACACAAGTGAACGACTGAGTTTCAATGATTTTCGTTCACTGATTTGTGGCACATGTATCTTTGTAAATTAATTTAAAGGCTGAAGTGTGAATAGCTAGCTAATGTGTTGAAATCTTCTTATATACATTTTCTGTGATGAAAAAAGATGAGTGAGGGTGGACAGATAAGGGAACACTGTACAGTAAACCTCAATTTACAGTGAGTTTCACTCACTTTCGTCTGTGTCATCATAGTTCAGTGACCCATGACTTTGAACGTTTCAGATTAATAAATCATTTATAAAACTGGTGTTTTAATAACTATTATCCTACCTGGTTACCTGGTTGATTGGCGGTGTGAACAATTAGAACAAGTGTTAAATTTAAGTGTGTACACAGTGTTAAAATTAAAGTTGCAGTAAATTTAGTGTACAATAGTTTCATAAACTGTATTGTAGTACTCAACATACAGCAGATCTACTTAATCAACACAGTGTTAACCGTATAATACACTACAGTACATATTTACTGTACAGCATTCACAACTCCATAAGACTTCAAGATGAACATAACGTAAATAACAAATGTAACACAGTACAGTATTTTTTAGTAGGGTAATAATATGTAGTACAGTATTTTTTAGTAGGGTAATAATATGTAGGTACAGTATATAATATGATAATGCATTTTTATTGACTGCAAGAAAAAACCAGCGTTGAATGTAATGAAACGCCATTTTCTGAGTGAGACCCGGAGGCTCCCCGGAGCTTTACCAGGCTGATATGCTAATGTCAGACTTTGGCATCAGTCATGTGTATGAAGTTCTAGGGCCTACCGGGGACCACGGCCAGAACCTGGCCCCCTCAGAGAGGCAAGGGGAGCAATGGCCTATAGAAACCCCCGTGTGGTAGGAAGCATTCTATGTCTGCCATCGACCAGGTCAAGCATCCAGAAAGGTAAGCATTCCAAAA